TAATTAGGAAGTAATAATAATAGTCAAAATAGGAAATAATATAGCTGCTAAAACTTAGCTACTGCATCCCATGAAACCTGCGCAAATTTTAATTCTGTCAATTAATCTCATGGCCCACATGGATAGTAGGACTTACCTACAAATGCATCCATAACATGAAAGATGTGTAATATTATTAAAATTTACGTGTTTAGATGCACGACCCGTCACTCGCAAAGTTCAGGGTGCCACGAGATTAAAATTGAAAAGTTAAAGGGTAAATATATGTATTCAGCCATTTGATGACTAAAAAACCACACGCTTTACATAAATTCATGAGAGTTGCCGATACATACTATAAGGAAAGTGTGAAAGCATGATATAAATTAAATTAGTGTGAACTAGCTGTTGCAAGTTCCTAAATTTCCTGCATCATTTCCAAGCATATATCAAGAAAATACAATGTGATTAACCCATAATGGTAGGTGGAAGGGCACTATCTCAATGAATAGTGGTAAGTAGTTGAACAAATGGTAGTTAGCAACTCTTCTAGTGTAGATAAATAGCTCTCTATGTTCAGGGCTCATTTTCATAATCATAGGCATAATGAGGTGGGAAGGAGGGATGATAAATGTAATGGGGTTGTGAGGAAGGATGATAGATATGTTGTGGGGGAGAAGGATGATATTCAAGTGGTGGGGAAGAAGGATGATAGACTTGATGTGGAGGAGAAGGAGAGCTACGTTCGCTCATCCGAGCACTCGCAACATGTGCTTCGTGTTTGTCCACTCTAACCTCAACTAACTCTTCTTCCTCAAAAGAATGGAAAATGGGATGTAGGTATGCATCAGCCAAGTATGCTTTCAAGTTAAGATCAGGTTCCGTTGTCCGATCTGATATGTCTTTTGCCATGGCTTCCTGAAGAAGTAACAAGAAGAAAAATTTCATCATTACTTGGCATGAGGGAAAAAACTGATACCCAACTTCAAGTAGAATCATAAAAATTTAAAGCAACCTCAAAATTCGAAAACTAGTAGGCTTACAGGGAAGATATAACATAGGAAGACAACCATAACCAGCATCTTATAGTGCAACTCCCTTTTTGCTAAATATGTAACTTACCTCAAGTGGGTACTTTCTAAATGCAGGTTCGAACCGGCTCTTGCAGTACTTGTGGAAGGTCAACGTCAGTATGGGCAAGATAACTAGCAAAGGAGTTGAATTAGCAGCTTTTTTTGTACTCAGCAAGCCCATCAATAGCAGTTGAGATATCAATAAACTTGCGATTATGCGGCTATGAACATGGGGCCAGAATGCACCAGCACTCTCATATTGTTGATTGTAGACGTTAATTATCTGCATCGTTAAGTTAAGTAGGCAATTAGTTTTACACATTTAACTAAAACAGACATACCAAGAAAGAAATTGAAAATGTGATCCTAAAGCGATATAAATATCCCTTTAGGATCATTTTAGTCATTTAGACATTTATCGGTTCCAGTTGATTCTCAATTTGCGCTGGCTATATATATATATATATGATTATGATGTAACAAATTTGATCCCCTTAAGAAAAAATCATGGCTCTTTCATTGCAAATACATACATTTACTTGAACATTCATGTTATCCATCGATCTCAGAAAATAATTAAAAACTATATCAAATATAATAATATTTTTAATATTATTATGTTTGCCTTTGCAAAAATTTTTACCTTTTTATTTAATTAAATTTTATTTATAAGTAGTTTTAAATATCTAACTAAAAAAAAATAAAATTGTAGCTTTGATTTATAAATTTTTAAGTAAAAAGTGATAAATTCATATTTTGAAAATGGCTGTTAAAAGAAATTATTTTATTTAAATACATGTTCACTTAAAGATTAATGTTTATTTGAAATAAATTTAAAACCTTGAGTCAACATTAGATTACTTGAATTTTTAGAATAGTGAACTATTATATTAAATATTTATTCTCACTTAGGTTTGAGAAAAAGAATTCCCTTTATTTTCATATCAATATTGCAAGTCTCAAGTTGATTATCAAGTGGCATAAAAATAGGTACGGAAAGGTCATATGCTAAAATTGAGCTAGATGAATCAAATTTCTTTATCAAAAGATGAAAAAGAATCATACGGATTTAAGTGTGCCTCAAAAAGAAACAATTGAATATTCATCCCAATAAAACGAAAATAATTCTTAATTATTCAAAAGAAAAGCATTAAAAACTATTGTCTTTTCTATTTCAACTTTTTATTTCTTAAAAAAACTCATTTTTCTTTTTAAGTAAAACATTTATTTTTATAAGTATATTTTACTTAGATGCAACATCACCCAAAAAAAAAAAATAAAAAATAAAAAATTAGTTGGATATTAAAATTATTTTTCACCTTAATAATCAAATACTGAAACACTAAAAGTAACATAATCTACTGAAAATGATTTTAAAGCATGGTAACTGTTGATTTTTGTGTGTAAAGAGGGAATCTTATTTCTTCAATCACTTGTAAAAAATGAGATGCACTCCTATTTATACATAGAGGTTATATGGAAATGCCTAAGCTACCCTTTACACTTAACACTATCCTATATATACCAGCAACCATACATCACAACACTCCCCCTCAAGTTCATATTTAGATATTGAGCATGCCCAACTTGCATACTAAGCTGTGAAAGATTTTGCTACTTAGTCCCTTCGTGAAGATATCTGCCAGTTGATTATCTAAAGTTACATGAGTGAATTTCAAGACACTCCGATTGATTTTCTCTTTTATGAATTGTCTGTCAATTTCTATGTGTTTTGTTCCATTATGCTGAACTGGATTTTGAGCAATACTAATAGCAGCCTTGTCATCACATAACAAGGTTGAGGCTCAGGACTCTAAAAGCTTCAATGCTTCCAATTACTTTCTCACCCATACCATTTCACAAAGTCCTAGGCCATGGTTCTATCCTCAACTTCTGCACTTGAACAAGCTACTAACTCTGCTTTTTACTCCACCAAGTAACCAAATTTCCTCCAACTAAGGTACAATGGCCTGAAGTCGACCTTCGGTCATTTGGAGATCCAGCCCAATCTGCATCAGTATAGACCTCAATTTTGAGGTGGCCATGCTTAGAAAAAATTATGCCCCTTCCAGGAGCAGATTTCAAATACCTCAGAATACAGAAAACAACTTTAAGGTGAGAGTCACGAGGGTCATGCATATACTGGCTCACAAGGCTAACAGTATAAACAATATCAAGTCTTGTGTGTGAAAGATAAATTAACCTGCCAACCAACCTTTGATATTGGCCTAGATCAACAGTCTTCCCAACTCCTGCCTGCAATTTGTGATTGACCTCAATTGGAGAATCAGATGGCTTACATCCCAGCATACATGTTTCTTCCAAAAGATCTAGGACATATTTCCTTTGAGAAATGAGGATCCCTTTATCAGATCTAGCAACCTCAATACCAAGAAAGTATCTCAGACTCCCCAGATCCTTAATCTCAAACTCTTGAGCTAGTAGTTTCTTCAGGCAAGCAACTTTTACTTCATCATCCCCCAGATCCTTAATCTCAAACTCTTGAGCTAGTAGTTTCTTCAGGCAAGCAACTTTTACTTCATCATCCCCCAGATCCTTAATCTCAAACTCTTGAGCTAGTAGTTTCTTCAGGCAAGCAACTTTTACTTCATCATCTAGAAAACTATTATCAATCTCCTTGTTCTTTAACCGTTCTGCATGTCCCGTATGAACAAGGTATAATGAGCATCACTTGAGTGTAACAATAGAAAAACTATGCCTTACTAAAGCCTGTCCAAACCAAGCCCTAAAGTGACTGTTAAGACCATATAAAGCCTGCTTCAAAACTGCATAACTTTCCTTTTGGTGTTCTAACAATCTCAAACCCCGAGCGGACGTCCATATAGACTTCCTCTTCTAATATCTCCAATGCAAAAGACATTCATTTACATCAAATTGATAGCAACTCCCAGTTTAGGTGGCTCCACATTATAGTATATCTTGATGGTTATTCATCTTTGCTTACTAGAGCAAAACGTCTCTTTGATAAGCAACCACCTATAAAGTCTGACTATATCCTTTTGCTACCTAACCAGCTTAACCTTCAATTGCGCCATCTACCCTATGCTTTGAACTGTTGCATACACTCACCTTAACCCCACTATTTCTTTTTCTACTGCAAGAAGTAACAAAGAACCCAAGTCTTTCAGGCAAGCAACTTTTACTTCATCATCCCCCAGATCCTTAATCTCAAACTCTTGAGCTAGTAGTTTCTTCAGGCAAGCAACTTTTACTTCATCATCCCCCAGATCCTTAATCTCAAACTCTTGAGCTAGTAGTTTCTTCAGGCAAGCAACTTTTACTTCATCATCTCCAATTACAACCATATCATCAACATAGAAAACTAGCAACGTGATCTTAACCGTGCAGTGTCTGATGAACAAGGTATAATGAGCATCACTTTGAGTGTAACCAAAGAAAACTATGGCCTTACTAAGCCTGTCAAACCATGCCCTAAGTGACTGTTTAAGACCATATAAGGCCTTCTTCAACTTGCATACCTTTCCTTTGGTTTTCTAACAATCAAACCCCGGAGGGACGTCCATATAGACTTCCTCTTCTAAATCTCCATGCAGAAAGACATTCTTTACATCAAATTGATGCAACTCCCAGTTTAGGTTGGCTGCACATGATAGTATGATCTTGATGGTATTCATCTTTGCTACTAGAGCAAAGGTCTCTTGATAATCAACACTATAAGTCTGACTATATCCTTTTGCTACCAACCTAGTCTTATACCTTTCAATTGCGCCATCTACCCTATGCTTTACTGTGAACACTCACTTACATCCCACTGATTTCTTTTCTACTGAAGAAGTAACAAGAACCCAAGTTCCATTCTTTGCCAAAACTTTCATCTCCTCCACCATTGTTTCCTTCCATTTTGGATCCTGATACACCTTTTGCCAATTCGGTGGAATAGAAACAAAAGGAATAGACAAGACAAAGGCTCAATAGGAAGAAGATAAAGAATCATAGGAAACAAATTGAGAGATGGGATGTTTAGTACAAGATCTCACACCTTTCCTGAGAGCAATGGGAATATTAGTGTCATCAATAATAGGATTAGCAACAGAATCAGAATCAACATTATGTACTATAGGAGCTATATCAGAATTAGGGATAGGAGTTATAGGAAGCTCACTGCATTGGTTTTCTGGACCTGATTGCAAGGAAGACGGTTGGGTAGTGGGATCATGCACAATGGCACTATTTTTCTCCCTTCAGTTTTATCTCTTCAAATCCGGCCTATCTAGTCTATCTCTTCTTTGAGCATGATCATCCTTTCTTGGTTGAGATTCATCTATATTTTGTATCTCTTCATCAATATTAATCAAGTTCATAAATTGTTATAGAACAAACTTAGACATAGGAGTTATCATCACTTACTCTTCTTACATTCGAATCTCCCTCTGAAGAGGAGTGGGGGAAAAATAAGGTTCAGACTCTCTAAAGGTCACATCCATACTCACAAAATATTTTCGAGATAGAGGATGGTAACACTTATACCCTTTTTGTGTGGCAAAATAACCAATAAACACACATTTCAAAGCTCTGGGTTCTAGTTTTCCTCCATGTCGGTGATGAATAAAACACACACAACCAAAGACCTTTGGTGGAACAGTGTATAAGGTATGACCTTGTAGAACTTCTATAAGACTCTTAAAGTTCAATATTCTAAGAGGCATTTTGTTATTCAAATATGTTGCAACAAGAATAGCATCTCCCAATAAGTTTTAGGCACATTCATAGTAAACAAAGAGATCTAGTCACTTCTAACAAATGTCTATTCTTCCTTTCAGACACCCCATTTTGAGCACTCGTATTCACATAACTAGTCTGATGTATGATTCCTTTAGAATCTAAATATGCTTGAAACATGTTCTCCATGTACTTTGTTCCATTATCAGTTCTCAAACTTTGAACCTTAGCACCAAATTGTGTACTAATCATATTATGAAAGGATTGAAAATAGGAAAACACTTCACTCTTGTTTTCAACAAATAAACCCAAGTTAAACGAGTACAACAATTAATGAAGGTAACAAATCACCTATATCCAGACAATGAAACAGTAGAAGTAAGTCCCCATACATCAGAATGAATAGTCATAAAAGGACCAGAACTTTTGTTATTATAGGAAACATGAGTGTTTCTTGCCTGTTTAGCAAATTCACAAGCATCACAAACTAAGGAATCTAACAAACATTGGCTAAACAAGTTAGGATATAACTTTTTGAGAACAACAAAAGAAGGATTTCCTAACCGCCTATGCCACATAATAGCTGTTTGACTAGTGCTATTACTTCCTAGTAGAGCTTGGGAAATTTCTGAAGCTAGGCAACTGCTACTCTTCTCAAGGAGATATAGGCCATCATGCAATCTACCAAATCCAATCATTTCCCTTGTTTTCAGATCCTACAAAACACAATGAGTTGGAAAGAATACAATTTTGCAGTTAAGGGCCTTGGTAATAGCACTAATAGATAAGAGATTAACTGGAAAGCTGGAATATGAAGAACAGAGTTTAAATTGGTGTTAGGGGTGCATTGAATAGAACCTGTCCCAGAAATAGATGTAAAAGAACCATATGCAATACAAACAGTTTGCTTACTAGAACAAAGTGAATATGCTAAAAATTTACTAGATGAGCCTGTCATATGTTTGTTTGCTCCTGAGTCTATAACCCATGAATCATCAATAGAATTAGCTAGGAGGGTCATACCTGAACGCACAAAATTAGAGGAAGCATCTGAAGTAGATGAAGAGTCGAGCTTTGTCATGAGAAGCCTCAAGGTCTGAACCTCTTCAGTAGATAGACCTCTAGTTAGAGATGTCGAAACTACTTCAGAAGCTACAACCACTTCAACTTGATGCGCAACATGTCGAGTAGAACTTGGCCTTCTACCTCCACGGCCATGACCACGTCCGCCAGTTCGTCGACCATGCAACTTCCAGCATGATTCCTTAATACACCCTGACTTTCCACAATGGTCACATCGGCGGGTATCCTCCTCAAATAAAGTACGAGTAGTCTGTAAAGATTAAGAAGCTATAAGTCCTGCTTTCTCAGATGGTCCGATGGATAACATTACACCTCTCCTACTCTCTTCCTGCTCTACATAAGAGTATGTTTCCTTTAAGGAAATCATAGGGCTCTTTCCCAAAATCTGGAACCTAATCAGGTCATATTCAGCATGCAATCCCACAAAAAACCCATAGACTCTCAGAGTCTCCACCTTCTTCTAGTATCCAACCACATCCTCTTCGCACTTGGGATGATAAGTCTTATAGTAGTCTAGTTGTTGTCATAGGTCATTCAAAGCATCATAGTATTGGTTAACTGTCAATTCCCCTTGCTTCAAGCCATGGACTTTGTTGTGAAGCTCATACACTTGAGCAAAATTTCCACGCTGAGGGTAGGTCTTAGTCATAGTTTTCTAAATTTTTGTCGCGGTATCCAACATCAAATACCCATTTGCAATCCTAGGCTCCATAGAATTTATCAGTCAAGACAACTAATGAGTTTTCAAAGTCCCGTTTATCATGAGTGTCGCTTAGAGGTGTGGGTGAGACTTTAGAACCCGTAATATAGCCTTGTAACCCTCTAGCTTTGATGAACAATAGGCATGACATTGACCGAGCAAGATAAATTGTACCATTGAGCTTTACCGGGCTAATTTGCAGTGAGGGGCTGTCATGTGAAGAGACAACTTTAGTGTCAATACCATCACCCATTGTCAAAATACAGGAGAACACACCAAAAACAGGTCTGAAACCGAAAACCACCCAAAATAAGGCGAAATCGGAAAGACAGCCCGAAATCGCGAGAATCAGGGCAGAAAAACAGTCTAGGAAGAGGCGCAACACCAAGGCGACGCTGCTGGAGTGGTCCACTGCCGGAACAATGGTCGGAAAATGTGCCATGCACCAACACGTGAAGAAAGGTGTAGAAGTTTACGAAGGCGCGTGAGCCAACGCACGGCGTCAGATGGTGGCCGGAAAAAGGGAGAGGGCCAATCGGTGACCCCTCTTCCACCTGGGCTGGGCAGTGTCAACCCACTCTCTCTCTTATGTCGCAGTAGCTTCAACCTAGATTAGGGTTTTTCTCTCTCTACTGCCCTTCACTGTGTTTAGGCTGAGAAAAGGTCAGCTATGGCTCTGATACCAAAGTTGATTTTTGTGTTTAAAGAGAGAATCTTATTTCTTCAATCACTTGTAAAAAATGAGATACACTCCTATTTATACATAGAAACTATAAGGAAATGCCTAAGCTACCCTTTACACTTAAGACTATGCTATATATACAAACAACCATACATCACAATAGTAACATATCCTACAAAAAAAAAAAACATTATCCATTATAAGTTTAAGACAAATATTGAAGAATGCCTGAACCTGGTTTTCCACGAGCCTTTAATCTTGTTCGATTTTGATTTCTTCAATATTAACCTTTGGCTGTATTTGAAGTTTGACCATTTTAAAGTTTCCCCGAAATTTTAACATTGGAAATGCATCTAACAGAAAACATTGGCCTTACAGAGTACATTTGCGCTTCATAGATATAAAAAACAATAAAATGCCCCATAGAAAGATAAGGTTTCAAACATTTTGAGTAAAACTAACCTGATGGCGGTAAACCAGGTAGGCCAAGGCAAAGAAGACTAATATAAAAGGAAGCAGGATTGGAGTCACCACTGCATAGACAATACCCAAAAGGAAGTATAGTTGGAGACTAGGAAGAGTCTCAGGAAAGTCCACACTCCCAGGGTCCATTGCATTTTCTCTGTCTCTTTCCGTTTTTACCAAAAACATGTTCTTCAGATGAAATATGACCAATGGTTTCAGTCGGAGGATCTCACCAGCAATACCAGCCCACCCATCAACCATTATATACGTAATGAAAAAAGTAGCCTTCATTGGAATGGAAACTCCAATTGTTCTAGGAATCCTGCAACAATATTTAATATTCTAAGAATCATATATGAACAACATACTAAAAAGGATTAAATAACAAGGATGATTTCAGTTATCTTTCTATTCCCTTTTAAGCATGATGATGGTTTGGATCAACTACGCATGCACATTTGGTAACCAAGGTCCTGTTAAATGAACTGCAATCAATATTTATGAACTGAAAAATCAGTTCAAAGAATTATTGATTTGAAATTTTACAACAAAAATTAGGTACCCAGAGTTCCAAACAACAAGTTTATAGGCCAGTTAATCAAATCCAACAGCTCAGCTGCACAGCCATCCAAAGCAAGAAAATTTTCAATTGACAAAAAGATTATGTAAATAATCACCACCAATGATTTTAGTAAACTAAATCCATCAAAGACTCTGACAATTCAAAACCATCAAACAGTCGTTATCAAGGATTGTAATATGCAAATATCACTAAAAAATTGTATATATTAATATGAGACAAGCACCATTCAAGGATACAATTATATTTATTACTTCACATCAACCAGCTGTTCAATGTACATGGTATTCCAATCCATTATAGCCAGCATTCCCAAAATAAAAAGTTTTAGCAGTTAAGGTCACTTAACATTTTACTAAGGAGATTATGTGCATTGCTTCAGTAAAAGAAATTAAATTGCAAGATTATTTATCACATGAAAATTACCTACAATCTATTATGACTTCCTTAAATGTGGAAATGATTAAATCTGAAGCCATAGGGATACAGAATATTACTGGGTTGGTGACTGGTGAAGGAAAGAATGCAGCTGCTCAAAAGCTGTTCCAGCTATAATGCTCCCCAAAAATACATTCACCAGCATAAAGTAATAGTACTTTGCTGCTGCTCTCCGTTCTAGAGTTGAAACTGCAATGTATCCCTCAATCTTTGACATTATCATCAAAAGTGTAGGAAGAATGTACAAAAAGATTTTAAGAGCAAGACCGGGAAGGAAACCCTGGAGGAATGATTTGATGAATTTCCTGCACAATTTGTCATAAATTATTTACAAGGAGAAAAACAGAAGCTAATTTAAATTCATATTTATCAAATATGTATCCTAAAAACAATGTAGAATGATAGAAAAAATGATCCACATAGCTGATCCCAGCTAGATCAGGGGTAATGCTTAGTTGAGTCAAGTTTAGATAAAAGGTTTTCCATAATTAGAATTTGAAGGGTATGGAGAAAGGGAATTGTAAACAGGATATTACATATAAGATTAGCCAATTATCCCCAGCACCGGAAAGTTATCATAATTCAAATCATGAGAATAAAGTCACCAGTAATCTTCAAATAGAGATGAAATATACAGAATTCAAGTCCAGTAACACGTGGTCATTAAATCAGAACAAAACGGATGTTTAAGAACAATAAATTGGTAAAAAAGGATCATCATATCAGAATAGCAGTTACAGTCATACTGAATAGAAAAAAAAGGTTCTACTATCGAGCTTCATCGCAATTCAGCAAAGAACTATGCAACATACAAAACTGTTGTTAATATAGCAAGTTTATATATTTTAATTGTAAGGCTTTCAAGTCTAGGATTCTAGGGTCTAGGTAGACTCTAGACTTGCATATATATTGACATTTGTATTTCAATGATATATGAGGGGGAAAAAGCAGAATAATTTTTCTCCATAACATGGTACCAGTGTCCTGGGCTCGTTTCTGTTCTGTTTCTATTCCACCATCAATGTATTGCACTTACAAACAGAAGCACATGGGGGTCTACATAAGACGTGACCAAACCATTTCAGACCCCCTTCCCTCATTTGACCTCCAACTCATGCTACTTACAATCTTTTGTTGGATGTCATTTCTAATCTTGAATCAAGCTACTCTTCATATTGCAATAAATCTAGCTTTTAACAAGAGGCCTACACACATTGAAATTCAGCAAAACTTGATTTACCATTGGTCATGTCAAAACAGGAGCAATTAGCTGATATTTGTTAGAATGTTGTAATTAATTTGTGACTGTGTTTGTGATTAGGTGATCAATGAGATATGATATAAGCTATGATTAAGTGATATAGGCTGTAATTAGGGGATTTGTTGATTTGTTACCCTATTTTGGATCTCTTGCATTGTATATAAACTGAAATAAACTTTAAGGAATAATCAAGCTAATCGACCTTCGTCTCCACTAAATCTCTATTGCTCCCTTCTTTTCTTACAATATTTTCACAAAAGCTTCAAGTGGTTCTAGGATTGATTATATTTATAACAAGTTGGCATGATACCATCTTTGCTCTAGCTTGAGGAGCAAGGAATGTTGTAAATATAATAAGTGTATATATATATATATATGTTCTAACCTAGCCTTGGAAGCATTTGCAGTTACACCCTATTTTAAGTATCTTAATTGTTAAACCCAAATTTGGAAACGCTTTTGCAATTCTACCTTATCAGTCAAAATTAGAAAAAACTAAAAATTTTTTATTCCTAGTACAGTAAAAATTAATTTTTTTTTATCCTTTCAAAAAAAAAATTTTTTAACTTCTTAATATATCTTTAACCTCGTGTCTCTGCTCCTCTCTCCACTCCTACCCACCACCACCTCCCACATCCACCACTACAGTCACCACAACCACAAAATTTAAAAATAAAAAGATTTACTTTTGATTTAGAATTAGGCTGCACAGGAACAAAAAGAAATTTAAACAATAAATTAATCTTTAATATATATAAAAGTACGAACGGAGAAGGGAACATTGGGATCGACAAAAAAGGACATGATTAGATTCAATTATGACAACTTACCCTTTATTTTGATTGGCTAGAAAAATAAAAATAATTAATTATGTTATGTTAATGTTTTAATTAGATTGGTTATATTAACAATACATTAACCAAATACATAAACCCTACATCTAGCTATACAGAACAAATATTTAGCAAAAACAAAGCATAAAATGAAAATGAGAATCAAAACTCATGAATCTTATTCAAAAACAAAACTTAAAACAAGTAATACAAACAAATCAAGTTATCATATAAAACTTTGTGAGATAGATCATATGTAGTCAAAATGAGACTGGTTAGAGACAAATCTAACAGAAATTAACACAAAATTAGCAAAAAAACCAACAAACCCCCAAACAAATTCAGATCTCAATCAAAATCGAACCCCCAAACAAATTCAGATCTCAATCAAAATCGAAGGAAATGAAGCTAAGAATCACTGATCTGATAAAAGATTTGAGGAAAAAAAAAACATACATTAAAGGAATTTTTACCGATTAAATATAAATATGACAAAACCAATAGGTACCAAAGATAGAGACTGGTAGAGACAAATCAGAAAACAGAAATGTAAACACCTAAAAATTACAAAAAAACCAACAAACCCCCAAAACCAAATTCATATCTCAATCAAATAGGCTACACAGCCCAGAACAAATTACAGTATCTCAATCAGAGTAGATCAAAGAAATGAAGAGGCTAGAGAATCACATAGCTGATAAAGATTTTGAGACGAAAAAAAAAACATACATTAAAAGAATTTTTACACATTAAAATAAAATGACAAACCAAAAGAAATGTGGCAAAAAAATGCTGAAAGAAGTTTTTAAAGAAAAAAAAAAATCAGTCAGTCAAATTTATATCTTCTGCCTTTGCAGTAACAAGCACCAGGTCAGGGAGGTATTCAATAAAGAGGAATAGATATGCACAAAAACACCATATGTCTAGGCTCTCTCTAAACCCTTAATTAAATCCTTGAAGTTCTGATTTATAAAGAAGTGAAATTCGGTATTATTACATCTTATTTAGTAGGATCTGCTGCACGGGGGTGTTGAAGTGGGATTTAAGCAGCCAAAATGCAAGATCAGTCATAGATGGGCAATGGGGTGGTGGAAATGGTGGAGAGGATGTAGGTAGCAAACAGATAGAAAAAGAAGAAAGGCAAAAATTAAGAAATAATCAGAAGGTACATTAACTATTCGTATGTAATATAAAGAACACAAAGAAATATCATAATTTATAGGTTAGAAAATTCAAACAGAGTTTCGTATTGGGTTAATAGGTACAGAATTCAAAAGTAGATACATTTCGCAGCTCCAAAAAAAATAAAAGAAATTAAAAAAAAAAAAAAAAAAAAAAAAAAAAAAAAAAAATTTAAAACGGAGAAGTTTTCCTTCTCCACAACAAAGATAAAAAAAAATATACTTACAGCTCGATTACTGGCCGGAGGAAAGGAGCAACCTTTTCAAGACCTTCCAAATTTGCAAGGGATTGCACGAAAGCAATGGGTATCATGTAAAAGAACACCAAAGCAAACACTGACAAAGATATTATCAGCTTTCGGATGCTCAATGAAACAAATGGTATAGCCAAATTTCGCCAATAAATATCACGAGGTTCAGGAGCCCAATTTGTCAACCACAGGGTTGGGTTCTTGCTTTGCTGTGTTTGTGCACAAACAGCAGCTCCCCAACGCGAATTAAATGAAACAAAAGCAACTGGCAAGATAGATTTTGCGTCTTTGAGAATTTTCTGACGCTCCAATGCCATCTGAAATAAAAGATATTGGATAGATGCATTAAGCAACAAAAAGAACTGGCAATGGATAGAATTAGTTCATGTTCACATCTGAGTAAAATTTTTTTTTTGGTGATATAACTTTTTTTAGCAATAAGATGGTATCACGGGCCAATTAAGTGCCCCTCCGTAGTCCAGTCAACACTGAAATAATTAATTCTAAAGAAGGATGGAAAATGACTGAAGGAAGATAGAGATTTATAAAAAGAACACTTGAACTAAACATTACGAAACACAAAATTGATAGTCATGACTTACTCTTTTTTCCAGTTCTTGAATTTGTTGTTTGTAGTAGTCAATGGAGTCCACTCTTTCACCCCAAAGTCCCAAAAATCCTGTCTGAAATGAAAGATAATAAAACAACTAATTCAAGTCCCATATTGCAATTGAATATTTTAATAAAAGGAAATGATTTGTCAAACAATTTATGTAAGAAAAACTGTCAAACTTTCATGATTATCAAACAATTTATGTAAAAAATGTGTCGAACTTTCATGATTTATTTATAACAATGCATATCTTCAGGATCTAACCTTCCTCAAACATAAATATTGTTTTCAACCCGACATCACTAATTACTCCACTACATAATATTTCATCCATAATTATATGAAAAGGAAAGTAAAAGTAAAGTTTGACAAGCTACGTAACATCTACCGGTGCCCCAGTGGATCTGAAATTGACATGCATATATGCATAAATGGTGATAAGCTAATTTTATAGACCCCATTTAGCACAAATTTCATGTTAATAACAAGTCAAGTTAACCCATTGAAGTTTACACCCGTTACCTTCCTGGTGGGCCTCTTGTCCGGATGCCTTTCAAACTTAAGCTGGTTGTAGTCCAGCCAATTTTGGAGCCTATCTCTTTTCCTCACAAGTTTTGCAAATCTATTTGCATTATAAACTGCCTGAACAAAAATTCGAAACTTTCATTAACAAATCATGCTGCCAAATTTCCTGATAAAAAGGCACATAAATCGTGCATATACCATTGTTCTATTCAAAGTCGTACCTATGCAATTTAAGGAAAGCCAAATTACTGATATGGGAAAGGAAACGAGGAAAGAACCTGGATAAATCATTATGAAACTGTGGTACCTGCTGACAAAGGTAAGTATTTGGGTGGTTTTTTCTGAAAAATTGTTCCACTGTGTCTGATTTTGAGTCACCAGAAACATGTGGCACATTCCTCACCACTACCTGCAGAGAATATGTACATAAAAAGAAGAGCAAGGACTTTAACCTACTTAGAATCTCATTAAATATTGTGAGATGAAATAACGATCGATGCTTCCCTTTTTTTCCTGTACTTGTTATATGTATTATGATCGTATTTTATCTCACAAACATTTGATTGAATTATGAAGAGAAATAGCAAAATGGATGCCTCCAAGGAAGTAGAATTGTAAGCCTTTAATAAGATAATGAAAATAAGCACTAATACATTTTTGCATAAAATTTTTTAAATATGAAAATTTCAAGGATGAAATGATAATCACATGACTAACTCCTCTTAATTGACAACATCCTGCAAGTTCTTGGGTTGATACTGAAAATTAAAATCCAACTCACTGTAAACTGTTCAGCACGCCGAGATTGTGAAGCCAAGAAATGCAACCTCATTGATGCTACATTATCATATTCCTTGTACAGCATGAAGCAAGTCCATGCAGTGAACAAATATTGCAAAGCTATGTGAACAAAAAATCTGAAAAGTGGCATTATTTTTCTTTAGAAAAATTGCACTACTTAATATTCTAACAACAGAATTAATACAAAGAAAAATGTAACAAATATGTGAACATAGAACTACTAATGACAAAATGATAATGGTCATTTCCAAAGTTGCTATGAAAGTAAGAGCAACATACAATTATTCAGTAATTCTGATCTTAATGATTTACGGATTTGAAGTCATTGAAATTATATTATGTCTATTACTACACCATGTATTGACACTTGAGAGTCTTTTTACCCCAAAGATATTTCAATCAATTAATAGATAAAATATGATTTATTTTGTACCCTTCGCTTAGTGAGCAAATGGGTCAGATTAGTATACAAGTTAACTCATAAGGCCTCCATAGTCGTGAATCTATTTTGATGAACCAATCGAGGAAAGAGATGCTTACACACCAGAACAGAACCTAACTCTACTTTTTTTGGTGCCTCAGCTGGACTCAAGAAGAAAGGCTCTGCGTGTTCAAGGTTTTCTAGAATAGTAAAATAATATCTAAGAATAGAATTCAAAAAGTAATAATTGAAATGAATTTCACATTGCCCAATCCTAACCATTTAGTAAGTATACAAGTAAGTGAGTGACGTCAGAGCCAACAGTAAAAGCGTGAATGCAACATTGGAGAGCTTGACAAGCACACTAGAACTTCCTTCTATTCAAACTGACCCAAATGGATTAGATCGTTCTTGCCAATGAAATTAACACTGATATATCTTCGATGCATTTTCACAACAGCAATATGCAGAAAAGACCCTTGTTATCAACCTTGTCCGCTAATCATAAAAGATTTAGAGCAGGAAAAGAGAGGAAAAATCGTTAGAGGACACAAAATTTTGGTTCCTATTCAATTGTCGGTCAGGAACTGAGGAGCTGCATTGTCCTTACAAAAAACTGCAGAGAATGCAAGTCCTTTGCCCCTCTATTTATGGATCAATACGGGGGTTAATTATATCATTAGTGTTCAAACTTCTAAATTTTTTCTACTTTGGTGTCCAAAGGGATTTTCTTTTTCTGAACAAGTGTCTCAATTGTTCAAGAATTTAATTGAGTGTTCATTGCTGAATAGGCCAATCAGAATTCTCAGTAGGCTGTTTTAAGGTCCACTTTTTCCTGCATAAGACGCTAACATGTACAATGATATGATTAGCGTATTGTTTCAGCCTAATGACTTATTTACCACAAACTTTGGGAATTGTTACAATTTGTTTTTATTGTACCCAATTTCCAATTTTGGGATAAATTGCACCTAAAACAACTTTAAGAAAAAAAAAAATCCACACCAAATTAGTGTACAATTATTTCCATTATATTCATTAACTCCAACTTTAAGTTTAGAGCCAAATTAAGATAATAAACTTTTTTTTGGGTTAATTGAATCCAATTTTTATTCAAACAAAAAAATTATTTTCATATTTTTAAAAGATAAAAAATGCAAGAATAGAAAAAATTGGAAAAAGAAAAGAGAGCAAGAGTTACTATGATATACATAAATGATGAAATTTCCTCCATGCTTTAATATCATAAATATTCAAAATCCATCATTGTTCTACACATTTAAGGGGGTTTGGCTACCTATAGATTCTAAAACTACAATTACTGAATTGATCGCAGAAATGAATAAAATCACAGAACATAAATTGAAAGGAACTAATAATTTAGATTGGAGTAAGACAATCAGAATTTATTTGAGGAGTGTTGAAAAAGATGATCATCTAATTGATGATCCACCCACTGGTGACACTAGACAAAGTTGGCTAAGGGAAGATGCTAAGTATATAAATACTTCAAAATCCAATCACTTGTTCTAAAAAACACATTTTAAGGGGTTGGCTATTCCTATCAGATTCTAAAAACTGAACAATTACTGACATTGATCGAGCAAATGAATAAAATTCACAGAACATGAAATTGAAAGGAACTCTAATAATTTAGATTGGAGTAAGACAATCAGCAATTCTAATTTGAGAAGTGTATGAAAAGATGATCATTCTAAACTTGAATTGAACCACCCACACACCAACCTAGAGGTGACACTAGACCCAAACAGTTGGCTAAGGCAACACTGCCCTAAAGTTAGTTTACCACATGGATCTCGACAATTACTAATTGACAAGTACAACAAAGTTGGCTAAGGAAGATCTAAGTTATTTTCTAGATGATATTGAAATTCTAATTTTTGACAGAAAGTGGGTGGGTTTAATTATCATTTGTGAGAATTTGTTTAAAGATTAATATGAATAATCTTGATTCACTTGTATTTACGGGAAAAGTAATCTACTCGTAATGTATGAGTCTGCAAAGGATTTTTGTATGTATGAGGTCTGCAAAGGATTTTATCGAGTCGACCAGCAAGATAAGCCCCTTACAGCTTATTTCATGGAATTTAAGAAGATTTACGAGGACCTTAATGTTTTATTACCTTTTAGCCCCAATGTCAAGGTTCAACAGACTCAGCGAAAACAAATGACTGTAATAAGTTTTCTTGCAGGTTTTGCTCCGGTTTTTGAAACTGCCAAATCACTGGTTCTTTCAGGCAGTGACGTTACCTCTCTTTAGGAGAGTTTCGTAAGATTACTGCGTACAGAAGGTTCTCATACCCCTTCTCCTTATGATAATAGTGCCCTTATAAGTCGTAATCAGATAATTAGGCATCCAGAAAACAGAGGAAGAGGAGGAAATAACCATAGTAATGAAGCAATTAATCGGGAGGCGAGCATTCTTATTTGCCATTATTGCCATGAACTTGGTCACACTAAACGGTATTGCAAGAAACTGATAAATAAGTCGCCAAGGGAACTGATAAATAAGTCGCCAAGGGCAAAATATTGGCCCTGTATACAATTTTCTTTCCTGCGCGTGAGTATGGATCGACGCTTCTCCATAGCTACAAAATTTCTCTAAGTCTACATATTCCCAATTGTTGCTAAGGCTAGAGCACATTCCCAGTACTACCTACTACAATGTCTTATGTCTAACCTCACCACAAGTGGGTCAATTGATTCTGGTTTGCACAGATCAACATGACAGGTAACCTATTCCTCTTATCCTCAGTAAAAAGAACCTGAAACAATTTAATCGTCATCTCAGTAAAAGAACCTGAACAATTTAATCGTCATGTTACTCTAGCTGATGGGTCCACATCTTCTGTCAAGTGTATTGGCACCGCCAATCCCATCCCGTCTCTTCTGTTGTCTTCTGTTTTTTGTTTGCCTTGTTTTCCGTTCAATCTATTGTCTGTTAGCAAAATTACTCATCTACTGAATTGTTGTTTTAAATTTTATCCTACCTATTGTGTGTTTGAGGATTTTTTCACGAAGCAAATTATTGGTAAAGGACGTGAGTTTGGTGGCTTTTATCTTCTGGATGAACAAGTTTCGTCATCTCTGGCTTGTGCTGGTGCTCTCTCTCCTCTTGAGGTTCATTGTTGTTTGGGTCATCCTTCATTGTCTACTTTTCCAAATCATTTGTCAGTTTGGGTCATCCTTCATTGTCTACTTTGAAGAAGTTGTGTCCGCAATTTCAATCTTTATCACTTTTAGAATGTGAATCTTGTCAATTTTCCAAACATCATCGTTTAACTTTAGTTCCTCGAGTCAATAAACGGGTTTCATACCCTTTTGAGTTAGTTCATTCTGATGTTTGGGGTTCATGCCCTGTTATTTCTAAAATTGGCTTTCGGTATTTTGTAACTTTTGTGGATGATTAATCTCGTGTTACTTGGTTATTTTTAATGAAATCTCGTTCTGAGATATTCTCTATTTTCTGTTCCTTTTGTGTTGAGATTAAAACTCAATGTAATACCTCTGTGCGCATATTGCAAAGTGATAATGCTAAAGAATATCTATCTAGTTCCTTCCAATCTTATATGTCACAGAATGGTATTCTTCATCAAACATCTTGTGTTTCTTGTGTTGATACTCCTTCTCAAAATGGGGTTGCAGAAAGAAAAAATCGACATCTTCTTAAGGTTGCTAGGGCATTTCTATTCCAAATGAAGGTCCCTAAACATTTTTGGGCGGATGCTATCTCTACTGCATGTTTATTAATTAATCGCATGCCTTTTTCTGTACTTAATGGTGCAATTTCTTATAATGTCTTGTTTCCTTCTAAGCTTCTATTCCCCATTGAACCTCATATTTTTTGTTGTACTTGTTTTGTTCGCGATGTTCGTCCACAGGTTTCCAAATTAGATCCAAAGTCCCTTCATTGTTCCCCTTCATTGGTGTTTTCCTTTGGGTATTCTCGCATCAAAAAAAGGGTATCGTTGTTTCTCTCCCGATCTTGACCGTTATCTTATTTCTGTACATCTCACATTTTTTTAGACTACTCCATTTTTTCCTTCTCCTATATATAAGAGTGGGGGAGGATGATGAGCTTTTAGTCTACGCTTTCCAGCAATTTCCTAGCTCTCCTGCTCCTGCTCCTATTCTTGAACTTGCACTTGCTCCTACTACAACGTCTGCTGATCCTATTCCCCCTCCTGCACCAGCATCTGCTCGCCCTTGTTTTGAACAGGTTTATTCTAGGAGGCCAAGAACTCTTGACTAACTTCCCCCACTTGCTACTTCAACAGAAGATCCGATTCCCTCCAGACCTGAGCCTGTTCCATCCACTCCTCAGTCAGACCTTGACCTTCCCATTGCTCTTCAAAAAGGTAAATGCAAGTGTACATATCCTATTTCTTCTTTTGTTAGTTATGATCATTTTTCTTCTTCATCTCGTTGTTTTGTAAGTAACCTAGACTCTGTCTCTACCCCTAAAACTGTTGTCCAAGCTTTGTCCCATCCTAGTTGGTTCATCCTAGTTGGTGTGCAGCAATGAAAGAGGAGATGGCTACCTTAGATCCTAATGGTACTTGGGATCTTGTGCCTCTCCAGGTAGATAAGAAAGCTATTGGTTGTAAAAGGGTTTTCACCATTAAAATGAATCCTAATGGGTCTGTTGCTCGTCTCAAGGCTCGATTAGTTGCTAAGGACTATTCTCATATTTATGGCCTTGATTACTCTGATACTTTTTCTCCTGTAACCAAATTGTCTTCTATTGGTTTGTTTATTTCTTTAGCAGGTACTTTTGGCTGGCCTTTACATCAGCTGGATGTTAAGAATGTCTTTCTTCATGGGGATCTTCAGGGGGAAGTTTACATGGAGTAACCACCACGCTTTGTTGCTCAGGGGGAGTCGGGTAAAGTGTGTAAACTTCGAAAATCTTTTTATGGCCTAAAACAGAGTCCTCGAGCTTGGTTTGGTAGATTTTACAACACCAATCTTGGCATTGCCAGAAAAGCTATTCTAATTCATTCTGTATTTTTTTCAGAAGTACTACAGACTAAGCTTTTGATTTCCTTGTGGTTTATGTTGATGACTGTTAATTTACAGGGAGTGATTCAGAGCGTAGCATCACTTTTAAGTTCATTCCTCCAGACTCAGTTCCAGACAAAAGGACTTAGGATTATGAAGTATTATTCGCTTGGGTATTGAAAGTATCTAGGTGTAGAGACGGCATGCTTTCTTATCTCAAAGGAAGTATGTCCTTGACTTACTTGAAGAAACTGGAAAGTTGGGTGCCAAGCCAGCAGCTGCTCAATAACTCCTTTAATTTGCAACTTTTCATTGGTTGGTGGTGAGCTATTTGATGATCCTGAGATGTATAGAAGATTGGTGGGCAAACTGAATTATCTTACGGTAACACATCCAAATATTGCTTACTCTTGTAAGCGTTTTAAGCCAATTTGTGTCTTTTCCTACTGTTATACATTGGGAAGCTTTGGGACAGATTTTATGCTACTTGAAAGGTAATCCAAGCCGTGGGCTCCTTTACAGTAATCATGGGCATTTGGACATTGAGTTTTTTTCAAATGCGGATTGGGTAGGTTCGAAGGTTAATAGAAGATCAACTTCAGGATATTGTGTCTTTGTGGGTGAAAACTTGATTTCGTAGAGGAGCAAGAAACAAAATGTAGTCTCACGAATCGAATGCTGAATCAGAATATCAAGCTATGGCACAATCTGCTTGTTAAATAATTTGGATTTGTCAATTGTTAGAGGAAATTGGCTTAAAATCGTACTTGCCTGCAAAGTTATGGTGTGACAATCAAGCTACTCTTGACATTGCATCAAATCCAGTATTCCATGAACGAACAAAACATATCGAGATTGATTGTCATTTCATTCGTGAAAAGATACAGCAGGGTGTTATCTCTACAGGTAAAAAAACAAGTGAACAACTAGGAGTATCTTTACCAAGCTCTAATGAACTCGGGCTTAACTTATCTTTGTAACAAGTTGGCATGCATTAAACATCTCCACTGCTCCAAACTATGCTCCAACTTAAGGGGGAGTGTTAAGGACTAGTTGTAAATAGAGTTCTGTTAGGAGTTTAATTCCTAATAGGTTTATAGTATCCTGTATATGTATATACATGTGTCCCTATTGATGAAAATTATATGAGAATATTTTTTCCATATTGGATTACAAGTGTTAATTTGAAATAATTTAGGGACCTAGTTATATTTTACACATTAATTAATTAGGAAGTTTGAGGGTTTGTTAAGAAATGAGGGTAATATTTTAATTTTAAAAGTTATTAACATAATATGATATTTTACTTGGTCAAATAGTAGTTTTAAAATAAGTGGATAATTAAAATTAAGAAGCATTGTACTAATAACTCCTAACTTATTTTAAGTAGATTTTTAACTTAAGCTAAACCAAACACTATTCTACTTACGACTTTCTACTCAAAAGTAGGTTTGACCAACTTTAAAGCCAAACAAAACAACCCTTAATTCAAACCATCAATTGAAAACTCAAGATATTAAAAGATAAAATTTTTAAAACAAAAAATATGTAGAATAAAATAATAATCCAACTCTAAGTTGCTTAAAAAATCTTTATCGATTTTAGTTTTGAATTTCAGTTTCTTGTTTTTTGTATTATGTGTTTCAACTTTTTTTTTTTTTCATTTATGAACTTCTATCTTTGAAAACAATTTTTCATCTATTTAAACAAAAATTGGATTTAACTAATCCAAAAATATAATTATTCTAGAAATCAACTTTTATCGTTCTTCGTCTTGAATTTCAATTTCTTTTTTTTGTTTATGTTTCAATTTTTAGGTTTTTTTTTTTTTTTTTTTTTTTTTGAATTTCAATCTTTTGCAAATGTGAAAAGAATTTTTTTTATTTAAATTGAATAAAAATTGAAGTCAATGGCTTCAAAAATAAAAGCATTATCTTAATTCGGGTTTAAATTTAAAATTGGACTTAATTGAATACAATTGAAAGTTTGGATAAATTTTGGTGGAATTTTTCCCAAAATCTCTTTTAGGGTGTAATTGATTCCAAACTTGCAAATTGGGGTATAATAGCAACAAATTTAGAATGGATTACAATTGTAACAAGTTGTGAAGTTTGAGGTATATAAGTCCATTAGGCCTACTTGTTCACATGGTTTACGCATGAGCTTAGCTTTAGAGAAGACAACCTACCTCTCATTATCCCCACCACAGCCCTCTCACCTCTGCTGGTACACTGACTCCCCAAGAACCTAACTTTTTCTCTTTCCACTTTCATTCCATCCTCAATTCCCTCATTAATTTCAAATTGTCCTCACTATTGATGAGCAATCTTCATAAGCTCAAACCAAAGTATATGATTCAAACTATCCACTGTCATTCTCTGTTTCTTTCAACGAATGCACAAACAAAATCAGTCAATTCCAGTCATAATTAATTTTCATTTTTCTTATTTTCTTCTGATTGCAATAAATTATTTAATTTAAATTTCAAGGAAAGCAAATCTTAAAGTTCCACTATTGATTAACAAAAATCTGCATAGTTCAAGAGGCACAAATTTAAAACAAGAAACAAAATATGAATTGAAAAAGTGAGATATATTTTCATCATGATAATTCCAAAAACTATCAGCATGTACTTTCATTTCAATTGAAAATACAATGGGATAGAAATGGTCCTATACGTTCAACTCATATAACTCCAAACAATCATTATGCCAATCAGATTTTTGATTTCATTTTACATTTAGAATTTAGTGTACTAGAACATTGACATTGCAACAAATTTAAAAATGCATGATCACATTCCCTTGAGGAAAAAAAATACATTTTTGAAGATTTTCCTTCTTTTTCCTTCCCTCCATAAACAAATGGTAGTTGACCAGTAAATTAGTTCATGTTCATATATTTATCATCACTTAGAAGAAACATAAACTTACCTTATAGATTGAGGACGAACATTTGATATTGAAAGCTTATCGATATCACTCATAACTAATTCTTTTCTCAAAAAGAACAGTGTACCACTTGATACATTGACTGGAATAAGAATTAGGAGAGCCAAGACTGACATAGGTACAAAAATCTTCAAACTGCCACATGAATGACAAAAGAATTAATGGAAAATGCAACATAAAAAATTAGACAACTTTAGAAGCTCAGTATTATGGTTCAAATTAAATTTAGAGTTTGTTACGGATATATTATACGGTACCCCTAGCCCTTTAAGAGTTTAAATCATGTTTATTCTTGTCAATTAGCTGATGATCCAAAATAGCCTTGAGATATAATTGTGATCTCTAAACTTTCCTAGAATTAATGGTGTCTTTAGGAGTCTTATTCTTTTGAAAGTCCAATCTCTGTTAGGTTTAGGATAAACTTTATAAATATTGATGTTTGTAATTTTAACATTAGAAGCATACCATCAGATTGTGTGATGCCTAATGATGTTTTATACTTTTCACATTCCCTCTTTACATTACTCATTCAATATACTTCAAACAGCCCCTGTAATCTAGTTTCCTTCTACAAGTAAGCATTGGTTGGTTTTGTTTGAAATTAAGCAAAACTGAAATAAAGTGAAACTTCCTGAAGAACCATAACAACTGTGTGAATAACTAGACCAAACTAATAAAATAATATGATTCAGTTCAGTTAATTATTTTACTAATATATACAGAAATATGTATACATTGTTATGAACAGCAACTATAAGTCTTTGATTGTGTGATTTGAGGCAGCAAATCACTCTGCAGGAAGAAAAATATGAAGTGTTTCTACCAGACAAAACCAACATTTGGAAAGAGATAAGCATTGATAAACCTGCTATCCAAGTCGCATTTGCTTATTTTCCCTCAAAGCTCACTTGAATTGAAATCGCTCGCTAGGCTTTATAAACTGCTTGTGGGATAAAGACAACTTCTAGTACAATATATACTAAAATACAATTCATTCAACTACTTTGGTTTTATACCATGAAAAAACAGAAGTGAGAAACCAAAATGTGTCTGTTTGGTTCAAGATTTTTAGTTTGAATTGAATAGTGTTCACAATATTTCTTTCATCTATTTTGCTGCCTAGCTACTCTTGGATATAATAGTCTGGCTTTCTGATAAAGCCAAAATATAGCCTAATGAACCTGCCTTATTAGCTGTCAACATCACATGGCATTAGGATTAGGGTCCAAACTTGAGATATTTTATAAACCCATTCCAAAAGCTAAATTCAATTTATCACTTCTTATTAAACAAGGGCATTATTCAAGGAAATCAAGGAATGAAAATGAGAAACTTAGTATGTCAACTTATAAAGCCAACAATCTGAACCCACCCAAGTCATTAAATAGATTAATTACTTAAGATGAACGTGTTACTGGAGTACTGCTTATGATACCAAGCATATAAACAAATGTGAAAAAGGAAAAAGGTAACAAAACATGGGATATTGAAATAGATGAGAAAAGGTAGTAATAAAGATGAGAAAGGGTATTGAAATAGAATATCCTTGACCGAGAGATCTGCCCGAAAACAAACATGGGAAGAAATAACATTAGCCTCACATATCTCCAATTTGCCCTTTCTTTTTTTCTTCTCCCCTTCCCACCCCCCCCCCCCCCCCCCCCCCCCCACCCCCAAGGATTACAGCAGATTCTTGAAAACTCGTGACACAGAAACAAGCCTGGCAAAGCGGTAAGACTAAAGTTCATAATTTTCATGTTCATCTCCCATTAGTATAGGTCAAGGGTTCACATTCATTTTACACCTTCTAAAAGGCTCTCAGTAGTTTAGAAATATGAAGTTGCTGTTAGAAAATAATAAACAAAAGGCAGAAAAAAAATGATGGAAAGGTTATTGACACAGAAAATCAACAGGGTAATCTAGAACATCTAAAAGTCATGTTATAGATAAATTGTTAAAAGTCAGATTCCAAATTCCAGATTTCTACAGAAGATGGAACAAAAAGAAAAAAAAAAAATTGAATATCCTAGTCCAAAATAAACAGTGACAAAGACTGAAAGAAAGAGCCAAGCAACAAAATAAACATTGAGTAGACAAGGTGACAAGTACATAAAAAATAAAAAATAAAATAAAAAAAAAAAAAAAGAAAGAAAGATTACCCAAGAGTGTAAATCCTCAAGAAAATAGCAGAGTCAAGACCAGCATGGCTTATAATCTGTTTCTCAGACATCTTCATAGCCTCCGGCATCCAATTCAAGAAAGTCAAGTAAGTCTTGAAATTGAGATTAACAAATTTGGCCACAAAGTTGCCTCGCCTCCTTGGACTGCTTCTCGTACCATTAATGTACCACTTGGGGAAGTAAACTCTGTCATTGATTGGTTGAATTCTCAACAGAGCAAAAGCCAACAAGAAAGCAAAAGCACTCAATATGTTTATGAAGGCAGAGACGCCAATGTCTTGAAGAGTAGCCATGGGAGACTGAACTCAACCTCTCAACTATCAACTCTCAGAGACTAGGATAGATAGAGAGGGAGAAAAGAGATGGATAGTAATTGGAATGCTGATGTACTGCTCGGAGGGTGACGCTGACACAAGCAACAGGTAAGGAAAGAATAAAGCGTCTTCGACAAATTATTGCATAGTCCCTGAAATCTCGTCTAATTAATAAGTCGATATTATATATTTTAAGAAACACAAATTCTTCTTGTGCTAAGATGAGGCCTAATAGTTCAGGATTCACCCCTTTTTTTTTTTTGCAAGCGTGTGAGAGAGATATAAGCTAAATATTACTTTTTATAAAAAAATTTTGAATTTATCTGAGATTTATTAAATTTATGAATTTTGTTATTGTTGCACACCCTTCACACTATCAATAATAAATTTTAGAATTTTTAGTTGTTATATATAAAGTATGCATTTAATATAGATTAATATAATTTTAAAATAATATTTTTATATTTTTCAATTATATTCGATAAGTATTTGATGAATATAATTTTATATGCTAAGATATAAAATAATTTTACAAATTAAAATGTTTAAAAAAATGTAATTTTATAAATTAAAGTATTCAATTAATTAAAATAAAATTTGAGAATGATATAAATTTTTTTCTGAAAAATTATAACAGTTAATTTATGCATGTGGCAAAAACATATAAATATTAAGTTTTATTAAAATTGTTACGGTTTAATAATATAAAAATTGTTATTGTGTAAAGAAAATTATAATTTATATAATTAAAGATATTTTGGTTTTTTCTGTGCATTTAGTTTACGGAATTGAACTTCAGGAGATTTTAGTGTGCTTTTCCTTTTAAATGAAAAATCGGACTTATTTATTGAGAAGGAGAATTTGGTAATTTACGTTTTTTTAATTATTATGAAAATAAATTATAGAATATTAGTGGGTTGTGTAAACTATTTGTGTTCTGTTGGATGATGGATAGTACGCTGGTTCTGATCTGTAACGTTTATTGATTGGTAGGAATTGGGATCCTATTGGCGTTTGGTCTGTCAAGGCTGTTATTGTCTTTTTCTGTTTTTCTATTTTTTATTTTTCTTTTGTATTTTCTTTTTCCGTCCTCTCTCGGATGGGATGTGTGGACCTGGGAACACTTGGCTTGTAGTATCGGTATATTCTTGATTTATTGTTTATCAAAGTTTCAAACCCATTTTTTGCAAAAAAAAAAAGAAAAAGTTTCAAACTCATTCCACCTGCAAATTGTAACTCAGTTGGTAATATAGACTGGATATATAAGAAGAATTTTTGGTTCGATTTTCACTAAACACGTCTAAAATGAGGGACAAAGAGTCTTAACTGTGAGTAAGTCCCAAATTGGATTAATCAGTCTCTGATAATAGAATCCGAATACCGATGATTTACACAAAAAAAAATGTCAAACTAAGTCCGAGTATTAACCGAAATCAAGATGGCCATTAGACCAATTTGAATCAGAACTGACTTGAATTTTGTGGTCCAAAAACCATCTAACCAAAACCCACTATATGATAGAATGATTAATATTTTTTAAAAAAACAACTAGCGTTAGAACTCGCAAGATGTGTGAAAAAATATTAAAAAATAAATTAATCTTTTATGATATCATTCAAAAATAACAAAATTATTAGGAGTGTCAAAATAGATTGGCATGTCGGGTTCGACATGGATTCGCCTAACATGCGACACGATTACGGTCAACACGAACACGACTCATTTAATAATCGTGTCAAATTTGTCAACATGTACACGACAGGTAACACGAACACGACATGTGTAACCTACCTAATATCATAAACAGGTTAAGTAGGTCGTGTTGACCGATATACGATACATGTAACTCTCTTAATATCATAAACAGGCTAAGTGGATCTTGTTGACCTATATACGACTCACTTAACTTGCTTATAATATTTTTAAGTTTTACCTATTTAACTCAAATTTTATTTAAAAATAAATTTGTAAACATAAAATTCATAGATTCTTCAAGATTCACAACTAAAATAAAAAAAAAATAAATACAACAATAAAGTTTAAATAGGATTTTAGTTGAAGTTTTATGTCTACCCTTAAATAAACGGGTCACTTATCTAACCCATGTGTCAATCCGTGACATGACATGTTTATATTCATGTCATAAATGGGTGACCCGTTTATGATTTTTTGTACCAATTTAACCTCAATCCTAATCTATTTATTTCGCATGCTAGACGAATCATATTTGTGAAATGCACATGAAAAAATTATCGTGAAATGCATTATAAAATTGTATCTCATTGAGATATGCTGAAAAAATTACAATGCTAAGATGTGTCTTCTTAAGTATCCTGCATTTTCACTAAGGTATACGATTGCAAAAGTCATGCAAGGTATAACATGCATTAAAAAATGCACATATACTACTAATGTATTTTTCAATAGTGATAATAATTTTGAGAATTTAACTAATTATATTGAAATAAGAAATTAAATATTTTTATTTTATGTTTATGATTGATTATAATTTCAATAGTGATAATAATTTTGAGAATTTAACTAATTATATTGAAATAAGAAATTAAATATTTTTATTTTATGTTTATGATTGATTATAAATGATTGTTTATTTATTTCAAATATTAATGTATTATACTTATTTAGTGTTGTGTGACCTAAGCATGTAAATGTTCTACTTTTAAAAATTGTCGCATTTCGTACGTTTCCGTATCTCGTGTTATATACTCATACACTCTAATTCCTGGTATATGAGACTACTCTATAGACTAAACTAATCAACCAAAATTTTTTTATTACCAAGAAAAAAAGAAATTGTTTTTTTTTAATTTTTTTTGCCTTTTTTTATTAGTGAATGATCAGAAATACTCTGGTTACAACTAAAAACATGTTTCGGTAGTCTTGGTAAGTCATTCGTCTTTGCCATACTCTAGAATTTTTTTTAATGAAACTACAATAAATAAATTGAAATGGAGAAGATTAGCTCTAAGCCGCATATTAATCAGTTCAGTTATCAAAAAGCTTAATTTTTTTTATAAAAAAAATCAATCCAACAACTTAACTTAGAATTTTGAAAGTTAATTTAATTTAATTTAATGACTTGGATTATATGTATTTCAATTTATTTTTAATTTAATTTAATGGCATTATCTTGATGGGATGTAAAAGTATTATCTGAAAATATAAAATAACTAATCCCTTTTACAATTATGCTAAATTACTGCTCTCTTCACGCTTGGCAAATTGAGAGACTTACACTTGGTTGTCATTTAAAATAAACTTCTCTAGTTTTATATCTCTATATATATGAAAGCTGAAACAAAGAAAAAGCTCAAGTCGATTAAATTTCCTGATGGCTTTGTTTCCAACATGGGTCGGTGTATTGACATGAAGAAGTACAAATTATTTAGGTTGAAAAGCAACGATTGCCATATTTTTATACAGAGGTTGGTTCCCATTGCATTTCGCGATTCGTTGCCTGCCAAGATATGGGAAGCAATGATAGAATTGAGTTTGTTTTTCAAAGAATTAACGAGTACTACGATTCGGGAGCAAGATATGGGACGTTTACACTAAGAAATTCAACCATTTTATGCAAGCTTCCGCGTATCTTCCCTCTTGCCTTCTTTGACTCAATGGAACATCTACCAATGCATCTTGCATATGACGCAAAAGTTGCAGGACCCGTGCAATATTGATGAATGTATCCATTTGAGAGATAAATATATACTATTCACCCATCCTATATAGTAATATTCCAATCTAATAACCTACAACATGCTAACATATTAATCAATTGTACTCAAAGGTGCAATGCTACGCTTAAAAAGAACGTGAAGAACAAAGCGAAAGTTGAAGGGTCTATTGCTAATGTATACCTTGTCGAAGAAGCATCAACCTTTTGTGCACACTATTTTGAGCCTCATGTTTATACAACACATCGTAGAGTGTCACAAAATAATGACGGGGACCTATAACTGGAGATGAATTAGAAAGGAACTTGTCTATTTTCACCCACCCATGGCGTCCTATAGGTAGAGCAAAGAAAAAACGGTTAACGAAAGAAGAGAAGCGAGCTGCTCAAATGTATATCCTTTTGAATTGTGAAGAAGTTTCTCCTTTTGTTAAGTAAGTGTAAATGTCCCTTATTTTAAAATGTCTAACATGCTAACTTGTATTAATATTATTACAAATAGGCCAACTTATTATACTTCAATATGTTGTCCATTGGTAATTCAAAAAAGCATATACATCTCCCAGCTCGAACAATATGAACCGGGGATCAGTGACAATGACATTAATATGAGGCTAGAAACAAAATTCCAAAGTTGGTTCAATAATTATGGTCTCCAATAACATTGTAACTTATACAAAAAGAAAATAACTTTTTCTTTAATCCATTAAATTGATGAAAACTCGTTAAGAGAATTCAAACTCTAGATCACCCGTTATCTAAATTCTTAGAGCAATTTGACTTTTTGAGGACATTTTCTTTAATCATCAAATGGTTTCTCGAGCATTTTCTCTATTTCACTTTTTGACAGGATAATTTTTTTTTAAAAATTGTTGATGAAATTATAACTGCATTGATGGTATTTTGAGCATTTTTATGATTTTTAAAATTAGGTGAAATTATAAAAAAAAATTTTTAATCTGCTCAAAAATTGATGGCTGCAATTTATTATAATATAAGTCAAACAAATTGATTTATTGGCAATTTCACATTAAATAATAAAAAAGTAAAATTTTTTTGCTAATAATTGAATAGATACCATTTGTTACGGTAATAATGTACAAATGCATTGTAAAATCAACGTTTTTATAAAACTACATCGTTTATGATAACTTTGCGTTGTTGTTGCCCCCCCTTTAGAAGGTTGCCCTGAATTTGTAACTATGAAAAGTATCAAGGTGAGATTAAATTTGTCTTTTTCTATGCTTTCCATCACTAAAAGAATATGTGGAGCTGACGAATCTGA